GGATGGTAGCTTCTTCGTATGGTTCATCTTTCTCCGCTAAAGCCTATGAGTGGTTGAGTGAGAAGGTACTCAAGGTGAACATCTCGTTATTAAGTGTTGGATTATGTTATGAGCTTGTAACATTTACTTTTATCTTTGAATTTTGATTGAATTGTTTGGTTAATCACAATTGCATTTCTTTGGCCTAAGCAAGTTGAATACTTTAGATTCTTAGTTTTCTTTTATGTGCAAGCAATAAATTTTCATTGGCAAAGTTTTCTTCGATTGTTCCTTTAATTTCGCACGTAACTCCTATTAGTTTCACATCATTAGAGCTCCTTAACATAGTGTAGAAGTCACCTCTAGGATTTCCCTTAGGTGGACGTTGGATGACACAGTGTCGATTCAACCTCGATCGCATTGATTTGATCTCAATCGAATAGATTTACACCAAATTGAATTTAATTAATTCGACTTCAAATTAATGAAGGCCAATTCAATCTAAATTATGCTAAATCATGTCATTTCAAGTTAATTCAATTCAATGTAGGGTCAGTTCGACTCGACTCGACTCGTGTTCGATTCAACCTCAACGACGTCGTCGACCCATTAAATTGAATCGAGCTCATCTCGAATTAATCATAACTAATTTAATTTCAATAAAATAAGTTCAATTGAGCAACATCGAGTCATTCGACTCAACTCAAATGCAATTTAGTGCTCGACAATTTTAATTGGCCTAATTTAATTCGTTTCGACTCGATATAAAACAAATATTAGTTCAAATTGATGTTGTTAAATAAGCATAAATACAAATCTAAACAAAGTTTAGTTGCATAATTCAACTTTATTTAGCCAATTGGCCGGATTTAAGGATTAAATTTCTAAATTAAATATTAAATTTCCAACTACCTAAAATCATGTCGCTACTATACGCCTGATACTACGTATTCGTTTGAGGACTAGCCTTAATCGAAAGTTCTCTCTCACCATCGGGAGGGGTAATTAACTATAGGGGCTTGCGCTATATGAAACCTAAACTCAAATCATAAAGTCCTCACAAATTGAGGGAAAATTCTCCAGGTAATATTTTATTCAAAACCCAATATGCCTTATGAAAAATTTCCTCAAAACCTACTCGTAAAAACTCTCCTCAACGACCCGAAGAAAGATAAAGGGGTCTGCGGAGAGGTTGGGGCGTGAATTTTAGGAGCCCACACATGGGTAATTTGGTTTGAAACCATTTTTCAAACAAATTTCCTCAAGAAAATAAATAGCAGACATATTTAGCCAATTTCAAATATAATGAGGAATTTAAAATCAAATTTACCAAAAAGTAATGAAATAATAAATGAAAGAATATAAAAAAACTCAAAAAGCGGCACAAGAAAGTAAGCTCATATCAAAACAAAAGCTACATGCATACCTTACTTTTCTTTATTTCCTCCATCAAGCGATCCCTCTGCAAAATCCAAGCTATGCAGGATCATGATTTTAGTCAAAATGCTAAAAAGAATTATTTAAATTTTTTAGCATGGTGCAGTTTATGTTGGGCTGAGGAACAATCTTATGCCATCCCAACATGTGAGATTCAAAAAGGCTCCAAGCGTACACACCAAATATGCAACAAATAGCAAGATCCATCAATGGATAACCACCACATGGTTTTATCATGATGCTAAAGCCATTAGCTTCAATGCTACTAAAGACATTTTGGTTACCATCACGAAAAGTATATGACAGCTAATATAAACTGTTAAAAGGACAATGCAATGCAAGACATGTAATCTTGTAACATTAACATAATACATAATTTTTTGCGGGAAGAGAACTGCCTATTGATGACAAGGATTCAGGTCCTAGATATAACGTACCAATGGTTGGATAATTAGCAAAAAAAAAATGCGATTCTCCGCTCAGGTATCCTTTGGTAAAGAGTTTACAAAGAAAATCAGGGCCGTTGTGTCTCATACTAGGAAACCAAAAATAAACCAGTAGCAATATTCTGGGCACTTATTATAGGATTAAGAACAACGCTTTATGCAGATGGCACACTACAATATGTTTTGAATTTGGCCATGTTCAAACCAAACAAGTATTGCCTTGTAATTTTCACGTCATTCAAACTTTCACCTTCTCCTTTGCAACCTCGGAGAAAAAATCGAGATGATTCTGCTTAGTGATATGCAGCTACTCACTCTAAAGCCAGTACCACTTCATTAGGCTACTTCTGATATTGCAACTTGGATACCAAAGCCAGGGGCCGAACCAGCTTTCTTTTTTAGGGGGGCAAACTCATTATAAAAAAGCTAAATATTAAAAATTTAAAATATATATAATAAGCTAAAATTCTAAGTAAAATCTTGTATTTCATTATAATGTATGAATTTTAAATAAATATAAGTTTTGCATTCTACTTTGCATTTTTTAATAATATTGCATAATTACTTCATTGGAAACATAGTCAAATATTTTCTTCTCGATGCATGGCACTAGACAGTCATTAAGTCCGGCATTACTCATTTTGTTATGCAATCGATGTTTAATAATCTTCATTGCACAAAATGCTCTCTCCACTGTTGCAGTAGCCACTAGTCAAGTCAGTACCAAATCAATAAGCTTAAAACCAATTGATATACACAATATTCTTTTTGGTCTTTACAATCTATTTTGCAAAAGAAACAATGCTAATCAAAGATGTGAACTCGCCACTTGTACGTATATCAATAATATAAGTAGATAGCTGATGTTCAAGAGACAATATTAATAATGAAAAATCTATTAGATATAACTCTGTAAGACAAATTAATTTTATCTTATCATAAGCAGAGAATGTACTAATTGTATTTAGGCATGTCACATAAAGAAGTAACTCAGTATTAATTTCTAAGAAGCAATTATGATGCGGACATCGGCACGAAAATCTGGCGCATCTATCACAGGAGGCGTCGTAAATCGACGGCTCTGATTTAAGTTGTCATTTATGAATTATTTTCTGCATTTAGTTTCTATTTTATGTTATTTCCTATTTTACCCCTAGGTTAATTTATTTGATTGTTGTGGCCCAAGGGGCAATTTTGTAATTTTTTATTTTCTCATGTTGTGGCCTATATATAGGGCCTTTAGCTATTGTAATAGGGAATTTTTATTGTCTCAGGTTACCTGACGCAACGCTACGTTCGGTATGGCTTAAAGACGCGACACCTGGCAGCTGCCTTTACCCGTAACCCGACCCATATATTTTAGCACGTTTTTTAAAATATTTCGGGTTGGGCCATAGTAATGTATATAAAATGGGCGGGAAACTAAAAAAGTACGCGACTTTTACCTCAAGTATAATAACCTTTTTCTGTATTAAACCTAAAATGTTCTACAGTCTTTACGGTTCATATAATTCTCACATACCTCACGTAAAGAAATCGTGAAGAATTTGAGGAGATGGAAGGATCGAATGAAGCTTCTGCTTTCGAAGACTTCTTCGATTACGAGGAAACTCCGACGTTAAACTTTGATTAAGCTTTTTCTGATCTAATAGTAGTAAGTTATTATCTTTACTATTTTTTTTTTACTTTTTACTGTTTCATTACTGATTATCAAATGTTGGTTTCAGTATTAACGATCATTACTCGGTATGAAGCTTTTCTTAGGTCGGTAATCATTATTATAGATCGGTATACGCTAGGTACTGATTATAATAGCTCGGTATCAGGTCGAATTCATTATTATAGTTTGGTATACGGTCGGTACTGATTTTAATAGCTCGGTATTAGGTCGGTATTCATTATTAAAGATCGGTATACGATCGGTACTGATTATAGTATATCGGTTTAAACTCGGTGCACAGTTGTACCGAGCTAATATATATTAATACGTTGTAGTAGTCTAGATCATTACTCGGTATGAACTCCTCAGCTCGGTATAAGGATGGTCTTAAGTATTATAGATCGGTACACGGTCGGAATTTATTATAATAGCTCTGTATAAACTCGGTGCACAATTATACCGAGATAATTTTTATTGCTTGTTTTTAAGGTCCGGATTGATATTTAGATTTAAAGCTAATATGGATGTATGAATATTTCTTAGGGGGTTTACAATTCTGAGAAGGAAGTTTCTTAGCGTTGTGGGGACAAAGACTTTACACGGCCGCGGTGTCCTCGAAAGATAGCACCTACCATACACGCTTTCTTAGCGTGGAGGGAAAGGCCCAGTTTTTCCGTCATTTTCCCCTAATCGGGGGAGACGCCGGGAGGCTGCCGAAATTTCGGGAGAAATATTACTCTACTTGGACCTGTTTTGAACTCAAAAGAACAAATATTGGGGCTCAAACGAACAACGGTGGACTCAGATCAGTGGACTTTTGAACCTGATTGAACATGAGCAGATGACCTGAACGAAACATAAATGATTTCTAGAGATCAAATCCAAATGAAATAAAATCATATTTGAACCAAACTCAAATCAACTTGAACATGAAAATGAATATATAAAGACTCCAGAGGACTTTGAACAAAAAGAAAGTGAACATTACAAATGATCTTGCAAGGACTTCAAAAGATTCTGAACCAAAGACTTGAACTTGCACTTTGAACTCGAGCCGGATTGAATACAAGGGACTAGTGAACTTGTACAGCTAATTCGAACTCAAGTGAACTCTAACATGAATTGAACAAGATTTCAGAAGACTTGAACTCAAGCTCGATCTGATACTAATCTGAACAATCATACAAGAGTTCCAACTTAAGCTAAAATCTTAAGTTCAACTCGCTTAAGAAATGGTAAGGATTTCTATCTGTAAACCATGGCACAGGATCTCCAATGCAATGAATATGTACAATTGCCTGTTGATTGAGATGGCAATATGGGAGACCAATAATGGAGGATTCGCCCCCCTGCAGGCAAGTGCAATACACAAAAAACCACCTGAGATTGGTGAAAGGTGGGTATGGTATAAGGACAACTGCTCTTCTACAAATATATCTAGAAGGTCGTAGTGGATACAACAGTCCTCTGCCATTGAACACAAGCGACTTGTGGATAACAACAGTGTGTATGTCCTATGCACAACGAACCACTGTGAGCACAAGTACAAGTATCTCCTATGACGATCCCTACGAGGTCAAACAAATACAATCAAACCACCCGAGATTGGTGAAAGGGTGGATATGATGCAGAAGCAATGGGTCTTCTACAAACATTTTTAGGAGGTCATAGTGGATACAGCGGTCCCCTGCAAATGGATACTTGTGGATAACAACAGTGTATTGAAAGAACAACGAATCACTGTGGACACAAGTACATATATTACCTACGACCTCGGTGACCAAAATCTCCAAGTATGTCGGGTACAAGGGCAACTCGATGTACGGGGAAGGACACCTCCTGACAGAATGGGAGGAAAGTTCAAACAAATTAGAACTAAACTTCCTGGTGTTCCCAAGTCTCTTCTTAGTCCTACACTTATAAAGAAAATAGTTCTGGTGCCCACAAACACCAGAAATAACAAGTCCACTACACTGAAGACCTCAAATGGAGTTTTCTTCAAAGCAACGGACTCCAAAGCCCAGAAAGTCCCGTCCCCGGTGATTGAGAAAGGGGAGTCAATGTCAATATAAGGAAATACCTCATGGCATCCAAACAACGACGCCACCGGATCTGCAACACTTATGCAAGCAGACAGAAGGTGTCTACAATCTACAACGCAACGCCACCGAATCTGCAACACTTATGCAAGCAGACAGAAGGCGTCTACAATCTACAACGCAACGCCACCGGATCTGCAACACTTATGCAAGCAGACAGAAGGCGTTTACAATCTATAACGCAATGCCACCGGATCCGCAACACTCGTATTAACGGACAGAAGGCGTGTATAAGCTCTCAAATGAAAAAGTTGTGCGCACTCAAATGGCTGTTACCTGCACAACTACAAAATACTTCAAAGTACCCCCACACAAGTGCATCGTAGTTTGTATACACATAGGTATACAAGGGGTAAATACAATCTCAACCCGCAAGGGTCCTGGCGAGCGTTTTATTGGTACACATGTGACGTCTAGGGATGCTGCGCGGGTCGATAAGTGAATTCTAGTTCGAACCTGATCCTTCTATAAGGACCAATAGTAGTCGATAGGGTTAGAAACTTTAAACGAATACACGGTTGTGGCGACTAGTGTATTTGTTTCAATATATTCATATTAGGCCTTCAAGGCCTACAATCAAGAAAATTCACAAGCAAACGCACAAAGCCTACAAGAAATCTGATCCTCGATCAATAGCTTGGCCGAGTTGACAATATCCAATCAAATGAAAATGACCCCAAAACACCCTGATGATGGCCGTGTTGAATGCAGATCTCAACCGGAGGGGTTCACAAAATATTTCAAAGTGCCCTCAAACTTCTACAAAATTCAAATATTTTTCAAGTGACATCGAGGTTACCCCGATGATGGCCGTGTTGAATGTTTATCTCAACCGGAGGGGTTCATTCAAATTCCAAAACTCCAAAAATGCCACTAAAAATCCAAAAATCCCAAAA